CAGTTCCTGAATAGGATTGTAGTACCGCTTGTTATCGTCCCGACTAAGGACTGTTAGTATACGGGGAACATCCCAAAGTGGTTTGGGGGATGTGCATGTGTTGGGCATGCAGAGGCTCTCCAAGTTTTTGCTCCACGTCTTAGATGCAGTCTTATATGGCTTCTTGTCGCTCGGCTAGGTGACGTGTTCTGCCCTGCTTGATGTTCTAGACGTTCAGATCCCTGATCAACTACCCACGCCTTTCCTTGAGAGGCCAAGCTGTATTTCAGCCTCATCTCCACATGGGCCCGGTTCTCAGATTCACCCTAAACCCTAAACCCTAAACCCTAAACCCTAAACCCTAAACCCTAAACCCTAAACCCTAAACCCTAATCTAGTATCCTGTCTTGGCAATGGTCGGTGATTCTGGAGTGTGGAAGGTCAGCTAACATATGCATGCCCTCGGGATGTCCCTCTTATACTAAGAGTCCTTAATAGGGATCCTAGTACTCTCCCTAGTGTAATCCCTATGAAGGACTCTTGGTATAAGGGGGAACCTCCCAATGCAGGACAATTTATCGGTGCATGCCCTACATGCGCCGGCCCACACCGGAGTCTTAGATTTTCGTGGTCTTCACCCCAACCTCGGATCGAGGCTTCGACTCCGGTCCGACATGTTTCCGCCAAAAAAAGGCAACCTGAAGCTATCCTCTGCAGAGCGCCTAAACGTGCCTCACCCTGCCTCGCCATGCGCCTTCCCACTGCGAAGAGCCATCTCTGTGGAACGACCCAACAGGCCCCGAGAGCACCCCGCAAGCTCCAGTGCTGAGTCCTTCGTTCATCTGGGCCCTTGTTTGCTGGTAGAGACGAGCTGAAATGCACACGAGCCGAGAGCTTTCAAGAGGCTTCCTGGTTTGAGCCTGTAGTCTCCCGAGTGTAGGAATCGGAAATTTGCCGAGTTTATCTTCGCGCTGTGGCACGGGATTCAACCCTGGAGCCTTGAGCTGAGCGGGGGTTTAGGGTTCAGGGTTTAGGGTTTAGGGTTAGGGTTTAGGGGGGGGCATCGGATTCAGCACACAGAGGCCCCTCAAAGACTCAAAGCGCCCCTCTCAGTGTTCACCTCGCTTTGGACGTTAGAAACATCCTTCCAGGGTTGGGGGTTCCATACTTTTGGGGTCACCTCTAGCCACTCTAGCCTTCGCCCGCATCAAGTCTTGGCTTCAGTATTTCATACGCTGTTAGGCCTATGCCTAAACGACTCTTAATTTGGAAGAAAGCTACTTAGCTGCTCGCTCAGGCTCGGTGTAAAGGTTTGTTTTGAAGGATTCGATTTTGGGGCGTCGCAGATTAAAGACAAAAAAAGACACTGCTCTGGGCTCTCGGCACGAGTTTTTCTGGCTGAGTGGCGGAATGATATGCGGCCAGTCACTATGGTGGGTCGAACCTTTTTTGTTGCTGTAATGGGTCTCTTGGCCGCTGTGGTGGACTGGCTCTGGAGAGCATCGGTCTTGTGTAAGAACCACTTGATGTCAGGGCTTCCAGGACCGCCTCTGCTTCTGCTTGGTGGATTGCGCACGGGGGGAACCCACTAGATGATCTGGCTCAAGGCGGTCTGTAATCTCCTTCCCTGAACGTGGTCATTTTAGAGTAGGGGGATAGGCCTGAGCCCGACATCTTGAACCCGCAACCCCCCTTCTACTTAAACTTGACCACCCCTACCAGCAACTGTAATTCTGGAAAGGGGTAGCACGTTTAAACGAGGAAGATCTTTCTGAAGCAGACCAAACCTTTCATGTGGGAGAATTGCGTGGTATCAGCCACTGATTAAGCCCACCCCGTGCTACTAATTTGAAGCCATTGTCCTCTGTGGGCCAGGCCTTTCTTGCGAGGAGCTCATCGAACTTTGCACGCTGAAATGCCACGAGTGAGGGGCTTAGAAAGGTGTAAAGGGTTCGGGTGGTGCGCAGTTTTGTTTGGCTGAGTTTCGCATATAGATCCCGGATCTCTCAAAAAGCAGGAGGTCATGATCATGGTGTCTTGGAGGCCCGAGAATGCATTTAAATTTAGCCCTTGTAGCTTGAGGTTTGGGATCTTGCTCTGATAGGCTATTGGTTTCGATCTGGGCCGATGGGTCTTGAGTTTGTTCGTCAATCAGGTTCATTTTCTGCTATCCCCACACCTTAGTTATTGTAGACAGGAGGGCCAATGGCAGCAGTTTTGCCCAATAGGTCTATTCAACATTTGTACGAGCTTGCGCATGCTTGTCGTAACTCCGATCAAGCTTTGTAAAGGCAAACTTGAGATCATTCTGCGAGCAGTTAACACATTTAACACCAGGGCGCTGAAACGTTCAGAGATGTTCAGACCAAGGAGGGTTTGCCCAGACGCAAAATGAGGAGGACTTAGTTGACGTACTTGCCGCGTTGTCATGGCTCATGCCTAGGGCCTAGGTGCGGCTCTCGTTTTGGGTCCATTTCGCGTTCTCGCCAAGGCACGGGCAGAACAAGCCAAGCTGTCGGCGTCGTCCAGGTTGCAAAATCACGCTCTTGCCTACAATGCGTCCCATCGTGTGCATTACTTCGACCCAAATCGTGCTCCCACTGGGTCCCATGATGTCGCGTGCACTTTTTGAGGCTGGAACACACAAATTTGACAGGATGTGCTTTCCTGATTTTTGGTGTTGGATGGGTTCGCTTCGTGCGTCTGTTCTAGTGCGTCTGTTCTAAGGGGATTTCCATTTCGTCGCATTCACATCGCCCTCTCGCCTTGGTCCCGTGTGCATGTCCCTCGTGAAGTGCAGAACCGTCGACGCGTTGGGCACCTGGGTTTGTTTTAGGAGTGATCCTGGAGTGCTGTTCAGGGTCTTGAAGTGGTCTTACACTGGGGTTTACGCCTCTGTGCCTGCATAGCGTATGTGTTCATCGGCTGTGGAAAGTAAGGGATATGATGTGCAATGGGGGAGCTGAAGCCCTACAAACTTCAAATTGCATTTTAGCAGTTCTCGCTCAACATCCCATGGACACTGGGGACAGTCTTGCATTTGTAGGACCAAGTATTCCGTGTAGCCACATTCCACAATGTACCCTTACCAAGCAGTCTCACTTAAAGACATCAAAGGCCTCATAATCCCTTACTTTCCCCGATTTGTCAGCGCCGAACAATCTCCACCTTGGCCCAGTCACGCTTCGGTCCGGCTGGCGACCGCGAACATGGACTGCTTGGCTGGCTTTCTTTCGGTTATACAGTTTGGGATTTGGGCTCATCGTGAGTTACTTGCCTTCTGGTCTCCGGCCGCATCTGGCCCCGCCGACCGCGAAACCGAAACCTTGGCAGCAGGAGAAGCAAGGAGCAGCACCCTCTTCCCCAGGTCGTCCGGTAAGTGGGGAAGGGGGACTGGGAGGGTGGCCAACAGGAGAGCGGCATGGAGGTGGGAGGGGCCAAGTGTGTCAAGAAGTCCAACCAGGAGGTGTATTGGGAGATGGCACTCATGCCTGCATGAGGGGCAATGCATCCTGATTAACGGTTAACAGACCAAAGCGTGTAATAGTGAGTTTTGGTAAGAGTGAAATACTGAGTTCAGAGTTGGCTATTTTGTTAAGTTCAATTACTGTATCAAAGCGGTTTAGGGCTTATAAAGTGCTTGAGGATTTACAGTGGTCCCAACCTCAGGAAGCGCCCGCTCTGAGCAACAGGAGACTGGCAGAAGCTTACATGTTGGCGAATGATAGTGACAGTGTATGCCTGATCTTAAACAGACTGAGGGCCACGGCCGAAGATCAGTGTTTCGTGAGTATTTGTCTGCACCCAAAGCCAACTTTATCGGAACAGAAGCACAAGTACTTCTTCAAGCTTGGGTAGAGTAGAGCATTTGTGATGTCTTGAGAAGGCATAGTCGGGCCACTTTCCTTCTCGAATTTTCCCCCAGCACCCTTACTCGCGCAGAATGTGTTCGTAGTCAGCCGCCCATTTCTTTTCTCCGAAAGCTACAAGACTTTACAACTGGCAGGGAACACGGGTGAATTACAAGCTTAACACCAAAGGCATCTTTGAAGAGGCCGAGCTGGCTCAAAAATATGGGGAGCCGGGCGAAACAGCAGCCGCTGAGCCCAAAGTATACAGGAAGCGCATGGAGAGTATGCTTCGTGGGCCGAAGGCATGGCTGTGCCTTCATTGTTGCCCACTCCCAAAGTCCAAGAGTGTATCGGAAGGGAGCAAGGGCACCAGCATATGGAAGCAAAGCGCATGCAGCATGAACGACGCTTATGAGCGGGAACGAAGATGCTTGACTGCAAGGCAGGATTCAGCCTCGCGCCTGAGGAGGTGAGTGGCCCTGCCTTTTTCCGGCGGGGAGAGGGCCTTTGACTTTTTCTGTCGCCCAGCGTGCGTCCGAATGGGCTGCCCTGCCTCAGAAGGCAAGAAAGCGGTGGGGGGGAGGGTTGGATGACTGGAGCTTGCCCGCCGGTTGACCAGAATCAGGGGATTCTGCAGACGCCCTCGTCTCCAAGCTCAGGCTGCCGGAAGACGTTCGCTTCGCCCTGTGACCAAGAAGACTCATAGTGGTGAGCTCCCTCAGCCCTGTACCTCTGTGGTTTTGGGGGGTGGACTGTCAGCAGCTTTTCGTGGTCAGGTCGCACGTGTTGTTCTTGCGTGCGCGGTTGATCAATGCATTGCCAAATTGCTCTCAGCTTGAAGGCTAGCTCGCAGCTCCGTCGCCACCACTCAAGGTCCTTTGCAAGCTAAACCGTCCGTAGCAGTCCATCACCAGCGACCGGTACTAGTCGAGGCAGGGAGCTTTGGCCGCCAACCCCACTCCAAGGCCCGAGGAAGTTCTCCCTTTGCCAAAAACCGTCTGCACAGGCAAGGAGCGACGCGACTGCGCTGCCTGCCTCGGAGGCATGGGACTTCAGAGCGCTTCCAGTGGCAGCGCAGAGCCTAACATTAGGCAAGCAGCTTTATTTTCTGCCTTGGTCATCTTGCTCATAGGGTCGGCCTCATGAACTAACCAGTAACGCTGCGCTGCTATGGGTGCTGCGGCGGCCCCTGCACACGTCAACAACGAGGAGGTATCACAAGGCTGGAAGGAGGCAGTCAAGAAGATGAAGGAGGCAGGTTGCATGGTGTGGGGCCATCTTTAATTACCGTAGTTGCAGAGAGACGTGAGTGAGGGAGCGCTCATGGCAACTCGAAGCCAGCGGTAGTGCTCCGGGTCGGATTAGAAATACCTGGCCTCCATGTGCTTAAGCTCTGACTTTCTGCGATTGCCATATCAATTCAACGGAGCCCTTGCCCGAGGCCCCGGAGCAATCGACCGAAGGTGCCGAAGGACGAATGTTGCCAGTGGATCCTGATTTTGCCAGCCAGGTCGGGCGCCAGATCAGCGATATGACTTCAAAGAGTGAGCAGCTTCAAGACATGATCAACCAACTGCTGGTTGGGGACATGGAGCCCCTGACAGAGTTGGAGAAGCTCTGCGACGGGCAGATGAGGTGGAACGTTGCCTGCCTGCAGCGCAAGATGGAGAAGCTGCAAACTGCCTGCAAGCAGTTGGCTTGTGTGGCCCAAAAACGAAAGTACGTTGAAGCAGACGTTGCCATGTTGCCCAGCTTGTGTCGTGGGCATGCTCTCAGAGAAGATGCACCAGCCCAGCAAGGGGTGACGCATGCAGGAGGCTCAACCCGTGGCATGCTGGCGCTCCCGCCCGGTACCGAGATTCATTGGCAGAAGGTTCTCATTCGCAATGGTCGAAACATGCAGCCTGAGCCGACTTTGGCAGAAGACGGGATTGAGTTGAGGACCATTCGGTCTCAGGTGAGCGATTGGGCTGATCAATGTCATGCAGACAAGCTTTGGTGTCAGGATGCAGTTCGCATAATGCAGGAAGCAACTGGAGCAAAGCAAGTGATTTTGATTCATGACCCACTCCACCGGGATGGAAGCGACAAGTTCAAGGGCTACGGTGTAGGCGCGCATACAGACTATTCTGCGTACTGTGAGAAGAACCTGCCAGTCAACATACAACAAGAATGCCACGGGAAGCACTTCGCACTTTTCAACTTGTGGAGGTCGACTGATGTGCATTCGGTGAAGTGGTTCCCGCTTGGGTTTCTGCACCCGGCCTCCGTTTGCCCCAGCGACCTGGTCTACTGCGAGCAATACGGTGAGGCCTTGTTCAAGGATCTGGTGGAGGCAGATCTCCAGTCGTCTCACTTGGGTTTGCATTGTGACGCCATGCTTGTTGATGGCATCCGCTACTCTACCTACCGAGCAGTCGCTGCCCACAAAGGGTTGGTACCAGACAGGAGGAAGAAGGATCCCAACATTGTTTTCAGGCATGTTCATTCCAAGCGACATTCGTGGCTCTACTTTCCGGACATGACTCAAGATGAGGTCGTGATCTTCCGGCAGTATGATACACGAATAGCTGAAGTGGCGAAATCTACGGTTGTCCATGCAGCATTCGCTGACCCATCAGTGCATGCCGAGGTCCTCCGCAGACACTCGTGCGAACTCAGATGCGTTTGCATCTTCGATGAGCAGCGACCGGATGAGGAGGCTTGCAAAAAGCAGCGCCTGAAACTTATTGAAGATGCATTCTCAGGTCTGCCATCACCCGCAGCTTCCCCTTCCACTCCAGAGTGGCTTGCAACGCAGTCACGCTTCGTGCGCGATGGGTTGGAAGCACTCCTGCGGGGCGCAGTGATGCAACCCATTTGCTTCGGCCGTGAACTGCTGGATCTCTGGGATCAAGGACTCCGCGGTGTGGAGATCTGCCGTGCCTTGGAGAGCTTGTTGGAGTGTGATCGGCAGGTGGGTGACCCGGAGCGGCTGCTGAAACAGCAAACGGATGGAACCAGCGCCCCCGAAGGTGACAACCCCTTCCGTGAACTGCCGCACATGGCAATCATTTTATCTAGTCATAAGTTCTGCATCTGGGTTTGAAAAATGTTGTCTTTCCTTGTGGAGGGGAGCAGTCTCCTTTATGCAGGGACTTCAGAGATCATGCCGACAGAAGAAGCGCAGACCGCGCAAAAGACTGCTCGATGAACACGCGCATAGGACAGGCAAGAGATGGTCGAACCTTTCGTGTTCAGAGCGCGCTCAGTGTGGGTGGAAACTTGCCTTGTTGCTGGCCTGCCTTCTGGATTGTCTGAGCAACAGCAGGTGTGCGCAATGCGAATTTGCAGGGTTTTATGCTACTTGAAAGTCCGCAACACACGACCTGTTTAATTCAAACGCAAGACGACCCGACTCGGGCTGGGGCCGACGTTGGGAGGGTGAGGTGGGCGGGGAGGTGGGCGGGGAGGTGAGCGGGGGTGGCTGTGGGCAAGAAAAGGCCAGACAAAGGGCCGCCAGATAAAGTGCTTGAGGGAGATTGTACCCTCAACTCTGACCCATGCCCACGACGCCACGCCCCGACATAGAAGGACAGGGCTGCCAGACCAAAGAGTTCTCGGAATGTTTTGCGCTCGCCCTAAACCCCACACCCGTAGCCCCGCATCGGCGAAGCGGTGGTCCCTGTCAGTCACGAAACTTACGAAGTGCAAGCGTAAGCTGTGTAAAAAGCCAAAACAAAGGTGAGGGGGGCGGGGTGGGGGGGTTGGGGGCGTGGGTTGGGGGGTTGGGGGCCAGTTGGGGGTGGGTTAGGGGGGTGGGGTGGGAGGGGTGGGGGAGACAACCTAGACACCTTCGACCCGAGGCGGATTAACCCTTGGGCCAAGGTGAATGGCATCGAAAAACGTACGGTGCCTGCAACTCCGGCCCAGTGACTAGCACAATGGCCGCGGAGCTGCGCGACATCGCGAAATTTGGTGCTGACGCAGGCAAGGTGGATCTTGAAAGGCTGATGGGGCCTTCTTGGCCACACCTTTCAGTTTGTGCACATGATCCAACGCTGGCCGACATCAGCCAGGTGCTTTGCGACCCTGGCGCGCTGGTAACGGTGCGCAGCATCGAGCCGTTCAAGCCGCAAGACATGGACTTCCTGCTCGGCAACCTGCAGCGTGGGGAAGTGCTGCTCGAGGAGGGCATGACAGTCCAGGGAGCCATGGGTTTGGGCAGCAGCGGGTTCTTCACAGAGGAATGCTTGCTTGGGGGTGGCGTTGCCATTGCCTCTATTCCATGCAAAGACCCCGGGCAGTATATGGAATGCTTGTCCATTTGCCTCAACGATGGCATGTCTTGGTGCGCTGTGTCAAAGTCGCACTATGGGCAGTCTTGGATCTTGGTGTGGCTGCGAAACGTAATTCGGGCGCTTCTTGCAGGTGCATCCCTGCTGGTGATTGGCCCCAAGGCACCAGGGCAACTTTGTTCAGCGCAACGTGCTGAAGTGGCACTTCTTTTGGCACTGGAGCTTCCCTTTGCCTTTGCCGAGATCGACACATTCATTGCCAATCGCCGGCCCCTGCACCACTTGGTCTTGGCTGACAACCCAGACTGGGCTGAGATCGAAAGCCGGCTGGATGCTCGTCATGTGGCTGGTGCCCTCCCTGCACTCCTCTGCAAACCATCTGCCGATGGTCGGACCATCTTACATTGCGCGGTGGAACGTGGAGGATCGGCTGACTTCGTCCGTAAATTAATTTCAATGAGGTCGGATGTGACACAGCGTACTTCCAGAGGGCAAACGGCTTTGCACCTGTGTGCAAAGTGCCAAGATCGTGCTAGCCAGCCTGGCAATCTTGCCAAGATAACGGCTGCGCTGCTCAGTGCTAACAATGGAATCCGGCACTTTGTTGATGACGGTGGGGACACTGCTTTCTGCACAGCAAAAACCATTAGCAACACTACTGTGTTGCAGGCATTGGCAGCACAACCTGGTGATGCTGCTTAATCAGGATCCTTCGCTTGCCCTCGGGGGCCATAACCTGTGCTGATTACATGCACATACTCCTCCTGTCTCACAGCACAAGCTCATTGTCGTCGTGATGGGAGAGCTTTTTTTCCAGCGGTTGCAGCGCAGGCCTTGCAAGGCAAGGTCGCTTCGCGTCTGTTACTTGGCTTGGCACAGGTCAAGCTAGCTGCTAGTCGAACCTCTAGGGCAGGGGCACGAGCCGAGTCATCCTTGTTGTGCTACGATGCCACACGCTCAAAGCGTCTAAGGGTGACTTGACACCTGCTCCCGGACGTCCAGTGAACATACTGGACAAAATGCAAAGCGGAGTGTCAAAACAGAACGGAAAGCTCTTGATTCTGCATGCTTTGCATGGACTGGGAAGCTTCTGGCCTTGCAGGTTGATGACTAGGGTGATGTGGAAAGATTAATGTCTGCTTCCACAGTTTGACAGGCGCAAGCCAAGATGAGCGGGAGTGACAGTCCGAATATCCATGAGGTCCTTGCACCATGAAACCCTTCTTTGGCAGCAAGTGGACTTCCGATGCAGCCGGCCAGCAACCCATCTTGTCTGCTTACATAGAACCTGGGATTTGGTGCTCAGGACTTCGGGCAGTAGGGTGAGTGCGGATTTCCCTGACGAAGGCCTGCGATCATGTGTCGAGCTGTCGGCGTAAGCTAAATATCCGTTGATGGAGATGCGAATCTGGGACTGATGGAGCATCCTAGCCCTCACTGTCGAAGGAAACGGAGGGTCCAGGAGTTGGGGGCATGCTTGCTTTTCAAGTTCGACGCAAGTGGATTGGGCGAGCTTGAGCACTTCGCCGAATAGGTGCGGCCCCATCACAGCGTTTCTCACGTTGCTGATGGCTAGCCACTTTCTGAAGTAGAAGTCAAAGCAACTCTCCAAGAGTTGTTAGAGGGGACGAGTACTAGCGCAGCCCAGGCCGGTCAGCTGTGTGGAAGTGCGCCAGAAATGGACGAGGCTCTGAAACATATCAGTCGAGTGTCTGGACTTGTGTTGGACATTCGATCGAGAGTTCTGATTTATGGCTCCGTGTCGGTTACACGGTGAATCCGTGCTCGGCCGTCTTGAGGCCGGCCAGAAAGGGCCTTGCCTGCAGTGTGTGGCAGTCTAGCACAAGCGAAACGGATTTCGCACTGCCTCAGCCTTGGTTGACCAGCCAGTCTTCATGCAAGCGTGTTGTGAACATGTTGAATCACCTGCGGCTCGTTTTGGGCTTTCGAAGCGTAATCGCGCAACCAAACGTTCCGCTTCTGATGAATGTGCGACTTTTAACCTCATTGATGTGGCACCTAATGTCAACATCTTGTGCTCTTTAGGCCAGCGAGGTGAAAAGCTTTTAGATGGGCAACGCCCACCACCTGGCCGAAGCCATGACGCCGGAGAACCCAATGTTTTCAATCCCAAAATCAAGTCTCCTGGAAGTGCTAGAAGACAGTCGCACAGCAGCTGGGTCGGTCAAGCAAAATCTCATAAGCCAGCTCTCCAAGGCTGACATTCCCATTGAGGAGTTGCTGCAAGATCTGAAGAGTTGGCACGAATGCCTCTCGCACCAGCATCTGCAGCAGGAACTGCGAATTGGAACGTTCCGGGACTGGTGTGTATCACCAGATATCCAAGAAAACCTTACCAGGATCTGGCAAAAGTTGCAACACGCAGAGGCCATGACGCAATCACACGACATGCTGGAACGGAGCCATGGCTCGGAGCGTCCTTTTCTTCAGAAAGGTATGGAGATCAAGCTGAAGTACTCCAAGCAACAGTTGAAAGAAGTCGCAAGATCTTGGCAGCCTCATGATGCAACAAAACTGCGTAGTATCTTGATCAACGGAGCTGGAGAAGAGCAGCTGAAGCTAGAGACTTTTGAAGAGATATCCCAGGGGCGGCATTGGATCGAGTTTGGAATCCACATCGGTCATCATGATGTCCCAAAACGGAGGACTGACGTTAGAAAGGATGCCAGTATCTTGGAATTGTATGATTATGGAGACCAAGGAAAATGTGATGAAGAACGGCTGAAGCGGTTCCCGCGCATGAAGACGCTTGCGAAGTTGCTGAAGGTAGATGGTGCGTCTTCACGGTACCATTTTTGTGCTGAACTGGTGGACCCACCATTTGGGACAGTTCTTCTCGATGATGCTAAAGCTGACGATTTCTTGGACTGGCTACATAGATGTGGCTTCCACAGCGTGTATTTGTATTTCAACTCAAATGTCAGTGATGTCACATCCTACCCAGATATTGAAGCATGTGGGCGCAGGCTGCTGAAGCGTCTTTCTCAGCAAGAATACAAAAGCCTTACCTACATCCTCGCAGTGAATGGGGACAACCTGAGCCCCAATGCAGAGAAGCTGATCCGCGTATTGCTGAGTGAGGCCCCCCCGAAGGGGATAAAGATGATTCTGCTTTACAACGCATCTCGCGGAGAAGGCATAGAATCTGCGTTCTACCGGCTTCCTTTGAAAGATGCTTCGGTCGGCAGGGTGACTGGCTACGCTGGGGGTTTCTCTCCAGACAATGTGGTTCAAAAGCTGCGGGACATGAGGTGGGTCATGCCAGAAGGTAGGAACTTCTTCGTCGAGACTTTTCGTGGAGTCCGTTTCGATGGCGAGCTCAACGTGAAGCGCTGCCAGGAGTTTGTGGACAATGTTGCCGGAAGCGAGTTTAACCCTGCTGCCGGGAAAGAAGTATATCCGCAGCACGATGGAAGCTTGGCCATTGGTAGCCGTGAGACACAGTTGTTTTGGCCAGACACAGTGTACCGTGTCAAGAGCATCGACAAAACACGGTTTGAAGTTGAGACGGAAGGCGAGGCCACGAAGGAAGCGAACATCTACATCGCCGGCTCCATTGCCACCGAGTGGTTCGTTCTTGCACAAGACGGCGGCGGCATCCAGGCACCTGTCGCAGAAGAAGATCCAACACGGATCTGGCAGGGAAAACTCTTCGAGGTTGTTTGTGCAGACAAGCTACGGGACTACTTGCATCCTCCATGTCAAAGTATGTTGACAGTCGTAAGAACGCCTGCCTGGCCTGGGCCTCCGTACCAAGGGCAGACGCCATTGGGATATCTGAAGAACCTCCTGCAGTCACCGGAGTGGAGAAAAGCAAGAACTATCCCAGAGCGGGACCCCAAGGAGATTCTTGAGAACTGGACGAAGGGGCTCATCACCAGCATCGATGATGGTTTGGGGGGTCAAGGGCAGGTGTCAGTGGCTTCTGCTGGCTTCGCTTCCAGAGCAGCGAAACATCCTGTGCTCCGTGAACGCTATCACGACTGCATAGACCAGCGAGGGCTTGCAATCGTATCGATCCCAGGTGCAGACCCAGAGATGTACAACACCGTGATCCGTATCTGCCTGGAGGATGGTATGCATTTTGCAGTTGTTTGGCTTTCATGCTGGGGAGATGCGTGGTTTTATGCTTGGCTGAGAAGTGTGACTCGTGCCATGCAGTCGGGTTGCGTTCCGATTGTGTTGACCCTGGCCAACCATCAAATCGGCCGCGCGCAGTCCGCGGAAGTCATGGCATTGCAGTTTCCGGCTTAGTCATCCCAGCCACTCACTAGGAAGTGAATCGCTCTTTCATTGAATGCTGTTCAGGCAATCCGGCATGTCAAGATGCAGTATAGACGCCAAGTGCGGAGTTTTCTGTGCACGCCGGAAGTCCAAACTTATGGTGCGCATGTCAGCTCCTGTTATTTCAGCTGCAAGCCGGAGCTTGCTGGTAGCATGTTTCGTGCCAACTCCTGCTCCTCGTATCTGCACACCATCGCACAAGTGCCAGATCCATGGAACCGCCTTCACAATTACCCGAGCTGATGTTGCTGCTGCTGCTGCTGCTGCTGCTGCTGCTGCTTCTGCTGCTGCTGCTGCTGCTTCTGCTGCTTCTGCTGCTTCTGCTGCTTCTGCTGCTTCTGCTGCTTCTGCTGCTTTTGCTGCTGCTGCTTCTGCTGCTGCTGCTTCTTCTGCTGCTGCTTCTTCTTCTTCTTCTGCTTGTTCTGCTGCTGCTACCGCCGTCGCCGCCGCCGCCGCTGCTGCTGCTTCAATGATGATGACGACCTAGCAACCAGGCCTTAAGCGACCAAAGTGTGTGTGTGTGTGTGTGCCCCGTACTGTTGTATAACTTCTTAATTAGCCTATGCAGATGAACGGTGCCTGGCGTTTTTCAATTTCGCCGACTAAGATTCTATGGACAGAACGTTTCTCAAGGACAGCGTTACCAAGGTCCTATCGAACAAACTGTACATAGTATGTAGTCTGTTGTGTTCTCTACTTCGAGGCGGACCCTTGCAGTTGGTAAGAGACGGATATGACCCGAGATGGATTTGCGTTGGTGCGACAGCATTTGCCCAGTACTAGGTCAATGTGTCTAGCATTGATGCAAGCGATCCATGGATATTCGCGAAAGAGGGTTGATATCCGAACCCCGCCGCCCCGTCAGTGCGTCATGTCTCCACAAAACGTGGGGGCGCGGATCGCGCTGGGTCTTGCCTCCCAGGCCTTGAAAGAAAGACAGAAAGATTTGGTGTGCCCGCAGGAACTCAAAGGAAGACCTTGACAAATCGAATCATTCACGTGTGGCGACGGCAGCAAGTGCCTACATCCAAGTACTTTTGCCTACCTCCTTGAGTTTGTTGCCCCACGGCATGCGTTTGCCATGGTGGTTTCCGGCACAGCGCCGCCAGGAAGTGAGATCTCGCATTCCTTACTCAGAACAAAACAACCATCGCCATGAATTCCAAAGTGCGAGCCACTGATGAAATTAAACCCAGAGACATGGCACCTTTCATGTCGGTTGAAAGAATAGCACATCTGCGAGCGGGATGCCAAACAGATTTAGCCACTGCCACGGGGGCTTGAGACTTTCCGAGTATAACGGACGACTCGTGTGAGACCCCCTCTCGGTTTAACTCGATTTTCTGTGGCCATTTTGGCCTCACGCTCACCTCGATCCTTGTTTCTTTCTTGGCCTTCGACCAGCCCATTTGTAGGGGTGGGTATCAAGACCATGCGCAGCAGAGCATCAAGCTCCCTCCAAGGTCATAGCACGGAAGCTGGTAAACAAGTCTTGTCCTGCAAATCTCAAGTGGAAAACTGAGGACTAAATGTTCAGTGATATTTGTTTGACTTCCTTGCTAAGTACCAATTAGAGTAAGACGACGTTGTAGAAAGTCAGTGCCTAAGGGCAGCGATTGTATTTAACAGTGGACTCCAGATCTGGATTGTGATTCCAGGCACTTTCTATTTTTCCCATCGCCTGTCTACACCCTAAACCGCTCGTGGCAAGTTGGCCACCTGGAGCAGCAGCACGTCTGCTGCTGCTGTGTGCGGTGAGAATGGCTTGGGGTGACCTTCGCTGGCAACTCATTTTTCGCGATCTTTCTGGATAAAGGACCAGGCAGTTGCTATTTAATCACAAATTAATCCACGGCTTATGCCTGTCACGTATCTTGTACAGATCTTAGTGTACATATCTCAGATTGAATCAGTAGGAGCAAATTCATTATATTAAATAGATATGCATACAAAGAAAGTTTGTACCTGTTGTAGGGTCCAAGAGGGCCCAACCAAGGCTGTAGCTTCAAAAAGCCAAAGCTTTAGTTGCAAAAACGAGGCTGTTTACAACAAGCCAACGTGGCAGCGCAGGGGAACATTAATCAGTGGTCCAAACTTCGAAGCTGTGTTTCAACTAGACGGCATGCGGAATAGGGAAAAACCACAGTGCAGCTTAGCAGTCAGGCATGTTCTGACGGCGTGTCTCAGTTCTGATGCAATCTGATTGGCTGAGGTTTCTCAACATCAGGTTCTTCTGCATGACCATTGAAGATTTCATATTGGTACGCCGCCCCCTGCACCATGCAATTGCGCATCAGGAATGGAATCAGCTGCGCAGATACCTGACGGAGGAAGTGGCAATGCCATCACAAGATCCGATGCATGACGCCGTGCAGAAGAGCGATGGTTGTGGACTCTCACCACTAATGCTTGCAGTGAAGAACGAGGCTGAACCTGCCATTCTCAGAGCGCTTGCTGCCCATGGAGCTGACCCTGGACAGGAGGACAACAATGGGTGGACAGTGTTGGATTGGTCCAACCACATTTGTCATCAGGCAGATGTGACATCATCGACATGGCACAGAAAGCACGGCCACAGAGTGGTCAAGTCCTTCTTGCTTCAGCTGCTCCCCCCAGTTCTTGAGTTCAGCATCGTGGACTTGCGGAGAGAAACATTGAGTGTTCTGAGCCCCAAAGCAAGAAGCAAGGTCTTGCTCGTGGCAGCCTTTTCGCTTGCATCTGTGCCGCCTGTGCCATCGCAGGATGCCTCTCTGCCGTGTGTACTGCCGCAGGTCGACAAGATGATAGAAGCCATGCCGGCAGCAATACCAGTGGCGTTCCATTTGAACGGGCAGTGTGTCAAGGACCTTCTGAGCGAAAACAAAGAAGCAAAACGTATGATCGCTGGCTTGTGTGGCGAACGATATCAAGCACGGCATGTGCAGCTCAACATCAACTCAACTCATGTTGAGAGGGCTCTGCTCCAATCCACAAAAAGTGCAAAATTGATTGCGCAGCTCGTCCTCAGTCATCCGAAGACGCTCTTTTTGCTTCCTGTGCTTCAAGCGAAAGATGCAAATGGGGATGGTGTTGGGGACTCATGGGCCTTCGTGAGACAGGTCTTGGAGGCTTCTAAGAGAGATTCTGCGGGTGGAAAGCCGGCCCAGAATTTGGTGACTCTCTTCGACGATCATACCGCAACCAAGGAGAGCTTTGAGATCTTGAAAAAGCTACATAACGGGGAGGCCAATGGCGAGCAACAGCGCGGGCAGCCAAAGCCCAAAGTCGGTTGCACAGCCGGCACCAGTGTAGAGAAGCTGTCGCGCTTTGCAGAGTTGGCAGAAGAGCACGGCTGTGCATTCATCGTCAGTGACTCCAAGACGTGCTCTGAT